GTACAGGTTTGCTCACTTTGATGTTCATTTCTAGTTTTGGCATCTCTCCCTTAGGTTCATTTCAAGTTACACCTAATTTAGGAAAGGGGGGGGGAAAAAGATTGAAACTTTTTTATTTTACAATTAAGGAAGAAAGATGGTGGCTTTATAGGATGGGGTTGCATTGAATTGGATTATGTCTCTGCATCTACAAGTATGTATGGTAAGATTATAAGTTATATCGGAAGTTACAGACATTACTTGCAATCCAAAGCTGTCTGTCTGGTCGGTCGTACAAAATACTCAGGCAAAAGTCCCCAATGTTGATACCTCAACCAATCCATATTATAGAAATATTTTTAGACTCCAAAATTAAAATTATACCAAAAAACTTTTTTTTTGTGTGTGTCTGCACTCAATATATTTATATAATGATTTTTTTAAAACAATTTATGATTAAAAAAAATATATTCTACCTTTTGCATTGATATATTCTTTTTTCAATTGTAAATTATTTCAGTCCAGTAAAATTCTAACATTGGATATGATATAGACTGCCCTAATCTATAATTTTTTTTCCAACAGCCTCCTATTTTAGTATCAAGATAACTTGAAACCAATAAATATGATATTGGAGTGTATAATTACAGCAAAAAATTTCTACATATTCTTTTGCAAAAAAAAAAATATATTAATTTTTTGGTTAAAACCCATAAAAATTCTTAAATTTATAAAATGGTAGAAAATAAATTCCTAAATTTTTTCTTTAATAAAATTATTCTCAAACTTGCAAGATATATCATTATATTTTTCAAATTTGTAAAATATATCATTATAATTTTCAAATTAATTTTTTGGATCGTTGAAGTTTTTTTTAAAACCAATTAACAAATTTAGTAATTATAATAATATATTTTATAAATTTTAAAATAAATTATCTGTTAAAAAGTTTAGAAATTTATTTTTCCATATTTTACAAATTCAGAAATTTCTTATTTTTTTTTAATTTCCAAAAATAGATTTGTAAACTGATCGAATTCGGTTGAGGATACCAAAAAACTCCCCCTTTGCTTCGATTCTCAACCACTTCATTTCGGGACCAAAGCAGAAATCATTTTTCTTGTTGGATTTTTCCAATCTCATCCTCAAAAATTCCGAGCCTTTTCTCAATTTTCGTTTGCTCCCATTATATATTTTTTCTGGGTTTGATTCGATCTCCTTGTGTGGGACCCTGATCCGAAGAAGATTCCGCGGATTTTCCCCTGACGTGTTTGGCTCGAAAGAAAATCCCAGTTCTTTTCAACCGCAGGGAAAATAGGAAAAAAAGAAAAAGCATATTTTTGAATTTCGAATTCTAGCCGTTTGGCTGAGGAGAAAGAGAGAGATCCAGACAAAATTTCTGGAGCTGGGAGAAAGCTCGAAATCTCCCCCCATCGAGAGGCTCTTGCCGGAGGAAAGCTTCGATCTGAATCAATGGGTGAATCTGCCTGTTTGGTTCATTCGTTTTCTTACACGGCGTCTATTTCCCGTGAATCCCATGAGGTTTGTTCATGTGATGTTGTTAATGCTTCAAGCTTTTATTATGTCCGAATCTTTTGACGTTTGTTGAATTTTCCGGGAAAATTTTTATGGATTCCGAGCTGGAGAAGTTTTGGGTCGATGTCTCGAAGAAAACTCATTACCTTTGGGATCAGTGTGCATAGCTCGCAGACGGGTTTCCCAAAAAATCTTTGATTCTGTGTTGTAGTTTCTATCTTAGCCTCGATTTTCCCGGAAACCAAACAGAAAACTCGACAAGACTTTATATCAAAGCGAGAACAGATTAGTTGCAGACTAGGCTGGTGAATCCATAGCCGAGTTCTTATGAATCCTTCCTCGCGATTTCCCCTAGAATAAGTTTTCTTCGTTGGTTCACCACAAGGTTGCCGAATCTGGTCGATTTCTAGCTGATGATTTGATTATCAAAGCTGGATTCAACCAGAAAATGACTCTGTTTCTTCATACCCTCGATTTTCCCGGGAACCAAACAGAAAATCCACAAGGCTTATCAGAAATAGAGATCGGATTAGTTGCAGGCAATAGAACAGAGATCCTGGTGAAACCCTTGGCGTGTTCTTATGGATCCTTCCTTGCAATTTTCCCCCAAAAAACAAGATTTCTCCTTCTGATTCAATCGAAATTTGCTAAATTTGGCTTGAGTTTCTAGTAAAGGATTTGATCCTCAGTCAGTTTTGGTAATAAAGACTATCTTTTTTTCGTGGTTGGCTTGCAGGAAAACCCGCTCCATGCGCTTAGCCAGTCAATCTCCTTTGGCAGATTCATGACAGAGTCTCTCGAATGGGGAAAATGGTCGAGTTTCTCCCACAAGAAGTACGTCGAAGAAGCCGAGAAATTCTCCCGTCCTGGTTCGGTTGCCCAGAAAAAAGCCTTCTTCGAGGCTCACTACAAGAGAAAAGCCGAGGCCAAGAAAGGTGCTGCCGTTGCTGCCGATGAAACGCCTGAACAACCTTTGGCAGATTCTGCAGTTTCGCCAAATCCTTCAGAATCTGACCCTCTTCAAAATCAAGAGGTTAAGGAATGTGCTAGTGAAATCGGAACGGTCACGGGGAGTGATGGGTCAGGTTTGAATGTCGAGAAAAACGAATCCGGGAGGAAAAGCCTTCAGATTGATGCTGAGGTTTCAGAAAAAGTTCCTGATGTGGAGAATTCGATCTGTAAACCTGTCGTTGCAGATGATAACAAGGGTTTGGATGATGTTATGGTGCCTTCTGTGGAGAATTCCCGGAAGGAAAACAGCTCGGTTGGCAACGAGGACGAGGTTGAGGAGTTGCCGAAGAAAGACGGAGTCGAAGGTAGAAGATCACTAACCAAGAACTCGCCCGGTTGGAGAGTATCTGTGGAGATTTCAGCCCCTCCTCGAACCTCAGATGCAGCGAAAAAGACTTCCTTTTCAGAGAATCGAAGGTAAAAAAAACCCAGATTGCTGTTTTTCTTCCGCTATGAAATCTCACTATCACTATCTACTTTTCTCCAAATATCGGTATCTCACGTTTTCGTCACGTAAATGCAGTGAAAGAATTGATCATACGTCTCTGAACAAAGATGAAATACCAATTCGCCGGAGATTCGGGTTCCTCAAGTAAGACCATCTGTTTCCCCTGTCCGTTTAAATTGCATCACAATTGGTTTTCTGGTACTGATTACACCGTTTTTTCCGCCATTTTTTCCTCGTGCAGCTGTTTGATGACAAAATCTAAAACTCACGACCAGAACCCGACAAGGAAAAAGGTTAAATTCCGGTTACATTGAAGGGACTGTGAGTTGTCATTTCTCGGTAAGGTTAACTTGACACTGATTCTGCCTGTGATTTCATTTCAGGGAAGAAAGCAGGAGAAGAAACCGAAGAAGAAACGTTCCCTTTGTCTCTGCTTCAAACCTCAAGCGCTCGGCGATACAGAAGCGCCGAAAAACCATGCAAAGAAGGTAAAGTCCACACCTTTTTCTTTCAAGAACTTGCATTTCTACAAAATCGGAAAGAAAAAAGGTTTCGCCTTTTGCGGGTTTTGAAGTAAAAGACAGCCAGAAAACTCCATTGAAGACGTTTTCTTTCAGGTGAAGGGAAAATCACAGAGCCGGAAGCTCTGAAACTCTGGAAAATGGCAGCAAATAAGATGGATCCCAAGAATTCTTCCTTCTCTGTCACTCGAAAGGGGTTTTTAGAAAGATTTGTCACTGTCTCGTGTTAGCGTTCTTTTATATAAAAAGAAGACTTGTAAGAAAAGGCACCGATGTGCTCTTCCCGCCCAGAGAGAGTCTCAGCGTGCCATAGGAAACGTTGGTGGTGATAAAGAAAGTTTCTTTCGTGTATACGAATCGATCGTCTTGTAAACCCTCTGAACCTTTTGGAGGTTTTCGTCTTCATATTAATTCAGTGAAGGTATCATCGAGTCACTTTTCTTTCGTGATGCATCTATTTCCCCTTGAAATATATGATTTGCAGTTGCAGGAATGGCTTAGTCGCAGGATAAAAAGCTGGAAACTTTGCATAGAATGATAACGTTTTATAATCGAAATCATTGGACTGACAGTTCAAGAAATTTTAAAAGAGAAGAAATGCAGATCCATGCACATGATACATCATTGGGAAACATGGAATTTACAGATCAATAATCATCATTTCTTCAACCAAACACCAGCCTTCTTCTTCAGTCTCTTCCACGTGATCAAGCACGATACCCACGTCGCTTATTCTGGTTTTCTCGTCATCGCCATCATCATCATCATCATCACCACGAGGCCCATCATCATTGCAATCATTTTCACCAGCATCACAGTTAATCTTCATTGCTTCGTCTCCGTCTTCATCATCATATCCGTTATCGTAATTCTCCACCCACCTGTCTTCCGACAGGAGATCGAGGATTCCGGTGGCGGAAACACCGGGGAAGTTCAAACGAGATGATCTCCCGCCGGCGACCCGCCATGTGAGCAGCTTGTAGGTGGAGACAGAGTCGTACGATCTCAGCTTTGATTCGCCTTTGGTCTTGTCCTTGGCTTTGGTGGTCGGACGCAAGTGGCAGTCAAGGCACCTCGGCTGACCACATTTGCCGGTGAACTTGGAGTGGTTGGTCGGCTTGGATGGCACTTTGGTAAATAACCCCGCAGTTGGGGGAGAAGTCAACGAGTTGACCGGTCTCAACCCCGGCCTCGGATTCAGCGGCGGAGGCAGAATCCTGTAGGTCCTCACCATACCGTGCTGCCATCCCTCCCGCTTCATCTCAGCCGTTGATCCCTGAGACTGAGGAACAATTTGGAAGACAATGATGAAGGCTGCTTGGTTTTTATTGTAAGAGCTGTAATGGCGGAGTATACTTGCAGAACAAGGAATGGTCAAAGTCAAAACAAATTACTTGTTGGCCAAGTCAATGAACTATCCAGACCCGACCAACTACAGTCGAAGATAAGCAATTTGAAAATGAAAAATCCATTTTCTTACAAGAAGAAGCATAAATAAAGTGTCGTATACACATTTACATATATAATCCGGGAAAACAAAAATAAATGACATGGGGTCCACAAATGGGTCCAGCTATGATGACGTGGCGCGACCAGGAGATATGTACGCAACGACGTCGTTGGGTCCTTTCAATCCTCTGACTTAGAACCCTAGGCTAGCTAAATCAAATTTCGGTGCGTCAGGGGTAGAAGTAGACCCAACGGAGGCGGAGGATTCATGGCGGCGATGCTTGCCCGGAGAGCTCTTAAGTCAGTTAGGTACTCTGATTCGATCACTCGTTCTCGATCCTTGAGCACGATCTCTGCCGCGCGTCAATCCGAGTCCGATGGTCAGCCATCGTCGACGTCGTTTACTTTCGACAAGCCGGAGGAACAACCCGTCTACGTGAAGGCGAAGAATGCTCGTCGGATGGACGAAGCCGCGACGTCGGTGACGATGCCGACGTCATTCATGACGGGCTCGATCGTGGGGAAGAGATTTTACCGGAAGGTGACCACGAGAGAGGCGGACGATGGAAATGGATGGACGGTGATGCTCGATTACAGAACCCTAAAAACCCCTTCGAAAAGGCCTCTCAAGTTGCGATCTTTAGCTCTGGCAAAGGCCATTGCAGCTGAATGGGAGTACCAGGTTTGCTCACTTTGATGTTCATTTCTAGTTTTGGCATCTCTCCCTTAGGTTCATTTCAAGTTACACCTAATTTAGGAAACGAGAGGAATTATGCTTTTACTGGGATTTATCTGAGATTCTTGCTGCTTTATACTGCTCCTGATATTTGGATCTGTTCATAGTTTATTGGATAAACGAGCCGAGAAGTTGTAGCTTTTGATTTCTATCCATATCCATTCTCTCTGTTCTGTGGATTTGGGGTGTGATTCTAAGTTTCTAACTTGTGATCCTTAGTTTCCAAAATCTACTTTTGATTTATCGTTTTCATGGTTATTAATCCGGATTGATGATGCGATGAATCTGGGCACAGCAAAAAGATGGCATCAGGCCCTTCACAATGCCTCTCATGAAACTTGCATGTACTGCCCTTGAGAGAGTTCCTCTTACCCGTTCCAAGACCATCGCAAACCTGGTGGATAAGATGAATCAAGATCTTGTTTTCTATCGTGCTCCTGATGATAACGACCTGACTAGCGAAATTCACAGTATAATCTTTTCATTTTCGTTTATTTCATAACCTTTTTTCAATAGCTTATATGTCCTCTTCTCGTAAACTTACCGGGGGATAGGCCTCTGTTTCAAGATCGTCAGGTAGAGAAGATCGATCCTCTACTAAAGTGGGTAGAGTCAGAATTCGGGTTTAAGCCAAAAGTGTATTCTAGCATCTTCGGGGGAAAACAAGACGATGGACTCTTGAAAGCGGTGGAAGATCTTCTAAAGAAGTCGAATGACTATGAACTGGCAGCCATTGATGCACTTTCAGCAGCAGCTCATTCTCTCGTGATTGCTATTGGCATCTTTCGTGGGAAATTGCAGATCGAGGACGCAATCGAATTGACCAGACTCGAAGAAGATTCGCAGGTTATTCTTCTCTCACCGCTATTGCATTTGCCTTTGGTTTTTGCACGAGCAAGCAAGCATCGACATTTTATATATTCTCACCTTCATCTGAACATATTACATAAGCAGGTGGATAAGTGGGGACTGGTTGAAGGGGGACATGACATTGATATTGCGGATCTAAAAGTCCAAATCTCGTCAGCCACTGTGTTTCTCGGACTATCCCAGACAAACTGAGTACATCTTTTCACATTTTCTCTTCTTAGTTGCCCTCGAGGAGAGAGTTTCTCTCTGAACTTACCGTGCTTCATCTGTTGTTAATTTAGATGATATGCGAGTTTGTGTTCTTGCAAGAATAACAGAAACACATTGCTTTTTTCCCGCTTTACCAATAAAAATACAGATTTACCTCCGGGGTTTTGTTTCGAATCCTCTCTCTAGTTTACATGAATGAACTTAGATAGTTTCTGCAGGAAATCGGTAGTAGCGTTGGGTCAGGGCTCGAGTTGGCAGCACTTTTCACAAACCGGCGGCTGTTTCTCAATGTTACAGCCACAACAAGCTGTTTCACAGTTGTTGTTGCAACCTTGGGAAGAAAAACATCAAGAGCTTGAGATTCAAGATGCTGCAAATTACCCTTCTAAGTTCCCATTAACAGTGATTAAGCTATGTTACCTTCTACGGTAATAATATATGAGGAAACTTCGGATTCCCGAGAACTTGGGCGAGGAAACTGAAACCTGTTAGAAGCCTGCACGATATAATAACACATGGCAACGCAGAACAAGGAGAAGAAGAACAAGGCTGTTTCTGATGGTGGCATCCTCTTTTTTCTTGTTTGATTCTAGTTCTTGAGTTGGGTGTGTTTGATTATATATATAGTTTGGTGATATGTCGAGGAAGGTGAACGACCAAACTAGTGATATGATTAGGTCTGATATGATCATTTGATAACATTTCATGTTGTGTTCATGATCATCAATGCAGAGATCCAAAAAAAGCGTGAATTGCTTTTTTATAAAGAACAATGCATAGCAACGCCAAAGAAGAGCAGGTGAAGTTAAAGTTCTAACCTTTATTACTCAGCTGCAAGAAATTTCAGCAAGATCACTCCACACAAACCCAAATGTGGAGGAAAATGCAAGCGTTTGGGCGGCTAATATCGGCATCAGGAACACAAGAATGGATGAGGTTCCAACTTGTTGGCAGACTCTATTAAGCTTAGAGCTGATGAGTTAGTACCCTTAAGAAAGCTGAAGCTGCTTGATGTGAGTGATCTGCTTGCCAGGGTTCAAACCCTTTGGACAGGCACGAGCACAGTTCAAGTCTTTCCTTTGTGTACTCATCACGGCTGTCGCTTATCCACCGATAGATCTGGAAAGTCTTCATGTTCGATCCTCCGCCGCCGCTCGAGGCCCTCGGTTCAACCTTCTGCGCCTCCGTCTCCGACGCCATCCACCGCGTCTGAATCAGATGCGCCGCCGCGGATAGCCTCGCCGGCTTCGCTCCAACCGCCCTTCCGATCAAACCGGACGCCATATTCTCGGACAGAAAGAGAGAGAACGACAACGATGGATGAACAAAATCTGAAAACAATTCCTATATATATATATATATATACACACACGTGTTTAATTAATTTGTTGTTGACCCAGACTATCAAATGGCGATTACGGACACAAAATATGTGTACATATACGCAGCAGCATCTGTCACTGTGAGATTACGTGTAGGTTAAGAGGTTGTCTGCGTCATGATAACCGTAGATCTCCTGAGATATGGGGACCACTGGAATTGTTAGTTAATCCTGACCGTTCACTGTGGATACCAACGTCGGCTTATACAGTGAAGAAGCACCGGATATTTCCTGAGGCGCGTGTTTTTCTCTGAAGAAGTCAATCTGACACGTGGCGTTATTTAATTGGAGAAATTTATATAGTTACGCCTAATGACAAATGGCAAACAAGGCCAGCCCGAAGAAACAGAAACAGCGTGCCGTTCTGAAACGGAAGATGAACACGTCGCGTAGTCTTCAAACAGAAACACGTTTCTGAACAACGTTTTCTGTTTGCAACTTGCAACAATAAACCCGTAGGGAGTCCAAACCTCAAACGTTCATTAGTTGTCTCATCTCTGACATTCTTCTCCTTTGTTTTGTGTAAATAACCAATCTTTTCTCTTGAAATCTCTATTGTTGCAGAAAGCTAATGTAAACTTGTGAAAGATCCTGCCCTCTTAGATTTGTTCCAATGGCATCTGTGAGATATTTATATTAAGTTTCTGAATCCATTTCCCCTCCCAATTCCCATCTAAAACCATGTTTTTTTTAAATGTATCATGCTGGTTCTAATGATTCTTACATGTGTTTACATTTAAAAAAAAAAGCAGCAGCAACAAGGAGGAAGGCCATTGCCCAAGTTCGGGGAATGGGACGTGAACGATCCGTCATCGGCCGAAGGTTTCACGGTCATATTCGCAAAAGCAAGGGACGAGAAGAAGACGAACAACGGCAGTGCTCGTCCCTCTTCCCAACCCCACGGCAATCTCGACAATGGCCCCTTTCAAGAACCTCCCCCCACGGTACATTTTCTCCCGACATATTTAAGTCTTTTTTTAATCGTGTTTAGTTGTTTAAACTCTGAAAATCGATCGAAAGAAAAAGGTTTAATCACGAATAGAAATCAAACATCTAGTTTCTCATGATTAGAATCAAATCCTGAACTAGACCTTAGCAGGTTGTTTCTGCACTAGGTGTCCATGTGGGTGTTCAGACGAAACAATTCAAAGTTTCGGGTCTGATTTTGGAGAATCCAGGAATTTAATAGCGAATGACAGCAAAATAAAATATGTAGTGCCCATTTCTGCATCGTTTTGAAAATATTGGGGTCAAAATGCGAAAAGCTTAAAACACTGTTTCTGTTTCTTCCATTGCAGAAGAAGTGGTTCTGCTGTTTCTGAAGAACATGTTGAAGTGTGTTCTGTAATTGAAAAGCGTGAAGAAGAAGAAGAACAAAAACGATGTAAACATGGATCTGTCTGTATAATTTCACCAGAAATCAAGAATTGATCTCAATCATCCAGACAAGAGAGACTGTACAGAAGTTTTCTGTTTTAGATGAAATCTCGAAGCTTTCCTCGATGTCCGAACGCACCTTCGTGTCGAGCTCGAACGAAACAACGACGAGATCAGAACGCTGTCTTTACACGATATCCACGTCCTTTATGACGCCGTTTTGCGATTCTTTGTCAGAACCGTTGTTGCTCGGAGATTTCCTCTTGAACGATTTCGAGCTGAAAATCCGAGAAACAGATCGAGGAACTGTCCGAGACCCGTTTCCGCCGCCGCCATGTTTCTTGTCCAGATCATCCGACAAGGTCTTGACAAGAGCTGAGAAAAGGCGCCGAAACGTCGGATACCTTGATACCGATTTCGTGAGCCCTTGAAGTCTAGAAAATCAAAATCGGTTAACCCTTAGTCTCAACCAACATAACAGAATTTCTGGAAACTGGAACAGTTTTTCTAGGAATCATCACCTGCGAGCAAAGGCATCGAGTTCTGCCCTTTTGAGATCAGACAGAGGAGGAGAACCAGAACCGAAAGTCGAGCTTTTCAGCCTGTCTGAATCGCCGTACAACAAAACCAACTTCCCGAGATACTCTTCTGCATCGTCGGTGAGGTTTGCAGCTTTGATCTGGTCCTTAAGGATCAAAAACGGGTTGAAAAACCAATCAAAGAACGCGTCTTTAGGCCGGTTCGTGCTTGTTATCTCCGTCGCACCGTCATCTACGATGCAAAGATCGAATCTTTTTCAACTTACAAACCAAAACATTTTTCCCGTTTCTCGCTCGGTTTCTCGATGATATTAATCCATGAAAAACTTACTCAGTAATATGCCAGTGGAGTTGGCTTTGATGGAGCATAGAAGGCCTTGAAGAAGGGAATAAGCCGGTAACCCGACGCTGATCACTTGGCTGCCTTTGCTCGATTTTGCTTCCTCGATGTCCTTCGAGTTTATCAGCCCCTTCGCCACAAGCTCTTCCCCGTACTTCCTACATTCCCGGAAAAGATCTTCGAGCATCTGCGAGATCAAACATGTTTTCGTGTGTATACAGAGAAACAGATGGATTAGAAGAGAAGAAGACGGGTAAAATCCAATACATCAAGTGGCTTCAGGTCAATCATTGGCCCTCTGATCGACCCTGTTCTCGATGGCGCGGTTTTGAATGATCCCGGCCTCGAAAACGAACTCCCACGAGAAAATGCCACCGAGCCCTCTTCATGTTTCCGGTACTTTGGCCTGTTAAAAAAAGATAAACCCGGATTCAGAAAACACGCAAAGATTGCCATGGTTGAGGTAAATCAGTAGACAACCTCGGAAAACAAGATCCTTCAGACATATCAAGAACATCGTTGCTGTACTCATCGTAAATAGACAAAGAAGCAACGATATAGCAGAGCCCGTAGAAGAAAGATGACTCCTGTGTGACATTTAACCATCGATCAGAATTTTCATTGAATGATGATCACTTGAAAAGATTTCCCAGATTTCAGTCAAGAACCTGATACGAGACAAAACCAGCGTAAGAGCCAAGGAAGAAGCTAGAAACCATCGATCCCAAAACCGATCCTACAACTGCAAGGGGCCATAGTAAGATCACGAGGCCGGCAATGGGGACACATATCGTCTCCAAGAACGGGCCTTCACGTCCAATGAGATCGTGAAATAGACGGCTCCAACCCTTAAACAACATGTAAGGGCTTTTGCACAAGGCTATGAGCGTAATTATTGGGAAATCGACAATTATCCCGAGAACTCCGGATATGAAAGCTCCAGGAAGTTGAAATAACCTGAGGCATAAAGTAAAGGATCTATTACACATATAGTTTTCATGTATAGGCCTTGTATTAGCACGTGTATTGATCAGAATATGCAATTAGAGCAATCCTAAGTACATTTCTGTAGAATAACAGAAACAAAACACGGGTTTTCCCCCCGCCTCTTTCTCAGATTTTCCTTCGTTTTCTCCTCAACCAAACACTCTGGATTGGATTTGAAAAGATCCTAAAGACAAAAGGGATTGACAAAAACATGAGTGAGCAAAGAAGAGACAGACCTTATCTCGTAATATTCCCGGTCAGGGCGATATTGTCTAAGTTCATCCATGAGCGAGAAGTATGAGTGAAAGCACACGTCTTTAAAATCACGAACAACAGTAAAGCTGCCATTGATGGTGCTCCAAGTTCCATCCTAAACATGATTTGACGAATAATCATAATCCTCTCCGGTCACAAACATGGGCAAATGAAGAACGGAAAAAAAAATGCATTGACTTACGTAAAAGCAATGGAAAAGCTGGTCAGGTTTCCCCTCGCCAACAGCGTCAAAGGTGGAAAATATCGGCGAAAGAAATCCATACAAAGCACTTCCAAGAACACTTCCAATGATACCAACCACTGGCCAGATGATGACACCAACAGGAAGACATAAAGACAGGAAAAACTTCAAGATTGGTCCTAATTGTTTAGCACTGCACATTAGAGAAATAAAGGATAAGGAGATTAAACATGAATAGATAACATAGTATCAGATACAGAATGTTTCAGAAAGAATTACCTCAGCAGGCAATAAAAAGTCCAAATGGTATGTGCCGGCAAAAGACCCAGTATGATCAAAGAGTTGCCAACAGTCACAATGAGGCATATCAGCGGGCAGAAAATGATACCTACGGGAAAAGCGTTTGTCTCCTCGAATCAGAAAACCTTTTTTGTGGCAAATCCATAAAACCAGAAAGAATTCAATGGGTTAGGAGTTTATTTCGATTAAAAATTATGAACTTGAAGGATCGATGAAGTGATTGTTAACATTGTATAAACACGAAAAGAACAACTGGGGCCTGACTCAAATCAAATGCCAATATGAATGTGCTTTCACTAACTAGGCGATGGATCAACTTGAATGATGAACTAATAACACCATAGATGAAACGACATTGTATAAATTGATCGTCTCTGGCTAACAGAAAGAGATCATCATATGTCCAGTTTCCACGGATGAATGCAACATACGAGAATTAAAACACTCCTGACATAAGATACAAGCAAAGACCTAAGAATCTGTCAGAAACCATCCTGAGAATATCAACAAAATGAAGCACTCAATCCAAGTCAACGTCATGTACTGTAAGCGAATGAGGAGAAACAATGTGGTGCGAAGTCAAATCCTCGGAAATGTTCTTACCAGAAACCCTTATGAAATCTATGTCTGAAACAACGAAAATGGATCGAAAGAAGTGCAGGATTCGTCAAAAGTCCGCAACTTTAATGACGCCCAGAAAACAAGCAAAGAACCTCATCATCGACATTAACACTAGATTCCAAATCATAGGATAAGTTCTTACCAGTACCATCACCCAATAGTATACGCCCCCAAAGCATAAAAATTGTGCCAATATAAGTAAAGATTTAGCGAAAGTGCGTACCTTTAATGACACCCAGAAACAGTAACCCAGTGAAATAAGGAAGAAAACGTATAAAATGCCATAAAGAAGCCAGAATTCCCTTAGGAGGCTCCATTGAATATCCCTACTCTAATCCCGGAAAATTCAACACAGATCCATGACAGAACCAGTCAGAAGCTTTCCTGAAACAAACCCAACCAAAACCACATCTTCTGCATCAATTTCAGGCACCAGAATCAGAGAAAATGAACACAGAATAAGGAAAACGAAGTAGAAGTTGGAGAGAAACCCATTACAGGAGTTGCAAGGCAGGAAACCACCATGGGAACTGTAAACCAACACGACAAGTACAAGAGGTTTTCTTCCTGCCGAGGTTTTCGGGAAGTTCAAGGTTTGAACATAAATATTTTTTTAAAAATAAACTAAAATCCTTTAAATGGATTCCACTGACTGATGCGTCGATCTACGGTTTAAAAAGAACCGTCTTTCCTCTGGATAAACCCCAAAAATAAAAGAAAAAAGAAATCGAAAATAGCAGAGAACACAAGAAACGGAGACCGACCTGCTTGTCTCATATGGCGGAGAAGAAGCAAAGAATGAATTTTTTTTTTTAATGGTTTGGTGTTTGAGCTTAACGCATCAGCGAACATTTTTTTTTTCTCCCACCTATCGAGAGATATAGAATAAAATATTTATTCTTTTTTTGGAGGAAAAAAAAGATATATATGCCATTAAAATGATTTTTTTTTAAAGATTTAAATTAGAATAGTGTTCGATGGCCTTCCTTTCGTATGGAGGGACATGTTGTCGGCTGCCACTTGAGATATATATTAATATGCTGCCAACTGAGATATATATATTAATTGTTGAAATAGAAACTGGAAATAGATATAATTGATAATAATTAAAGATACTTGGAAATAAAATATTATTGTATCAATTATCTTTTGTTTTATTTGTTTTTCAGTTATCTTATTCTGTTCAATAATTTTTAATATAAATGTATGATATTTTTATTGTAATGTAATAAAAAGAAGAGATTTGACAATAAAAGTGTTTTCATTGTGTTTTTCTTTTGTTTTCTTTTTTATTTAATTTTTGTATTTTATTTTTAATATTAATATATTATAAATATATATGTATAGTGATTAACCACTAGTAATTCAAATTAATAATTATCCATAAAAAATATATACCAATTATATATTTTAAAGGTTTTTTCAATATTATTACATAGATTTTCAGGAATTTAGGAGGACTGGAGATTTCGCTGCATATATTATTTATTATGGATTGTGTTTTTTTGGGTGAATATTATGGATTATGTTATTTATGTATATCCATCAATTTTGGAATGAATAAATATATATGTGTATTCCATCGCATATACATGCGTGTGTATAGGTGTGATTGCGTTATATATTTTCCCGCACATTTAAAATATGTTGTATAGAGCATTTTTAAATTTGGCGGCGTAAGAATATGTGATACTATATTTGCCATAGAGAATGAATCAATTTGTACTCTGGGGTAGGGGTGGCCATTTCGGGTTTCGGTTCGGTTTTCGGTTCGGTTATTTCGGGTTCGGTTATTTCGGTTATAAAAAAATCATACCCAAACGGTTATATAGATTTATTCGGTTCGATTCGGTTCGGTTTCGGTTCGGTTCGGTCCGGTTTTTGCATAATAAAATTATAACCAAACGGTTAAATTTTTCGGTTTATTCGGTTCGGTTTTAAATCGGTTCGGTTCGGTTATGATATATTTAAAAAAAAAAAGAATATTAATCCTATACAAACTTCAAAATATTTATCCAAATAAATCTATAAAATAATTAATCCTCCAAAAAAGTTAAAAAAAATTTACAAAAACTTCAATAATTAGATTAAAAGTTAAAAATATTAAATTTTATGGTTTATTAGGTGAAACACATAAGGTACAAATGAACTACAAAAAAATAACACTAATAATAATAAGGGTAAAAATTAAAATATTATAAAAACTCTAATAACCGTTCGATTAACCGCGGTTATTCGGTTATTAACCGAACCGAACCGAACCCGAACGGTTATTCAACTTCCTCAACCGTTCGGTTATTAAGCAAATAACCGAACCGAACCGAACCGCTGTTAGTCGGTTCGGTTCGGTTCGGTTATTCGGTTATTAACCGAAATGGCCACCCCTACTCTGGAGGAAAAAATCATTAGGTAACTACTACAAAACAAATCTGGCCAAAAATATTTTCAAATTGACCCCTGTTTTTAGTTTAGTTGCAGACACACCCCTGCATTTTCGCTTTGTACCGAGTCAAACTCGAAGTTTAGGTTTATTTTCAATGGGCCTACTACATTAACATTATGGGTCATGAAAGGCCCATACTTTTAAGCTTACAAAATGCACCTTTTATTGGTCTTGTTTAGTCTATGGGCCCGAAAAAGTGCCCGTTGAGATTCTGCTCACAAATTTTTCTTTTGGGCCTACAGTAAATTTCAGCAAATATAGGGGTTATTTCCATGTCATATCATATATTGTAGTTACTTCCTGGTTTATACGTCACAAGGACAATCCATTAACCCGAATCGAAACCAGTAAACCGGCTCCACAGTTGCATAAGAAACCGGACCGGAATATTTATATACAGAATACAGTCATAACATCTAGAATTCTATGCTTCCATTTATAATAACCAATTGTTACTAATATTATTTTGATATAATTGTTCTATTTAGGCGTGACTTATTCGAGTTTCGGTTCGATTATATTCGAATTCATATATTTCGATTTTAGAATTTAATTTGATTTGGTCTAAATTTGATTCAATTATGATAAACAATGTTTGTTTTCTTAAAGAAATCTACATTTTTTTTTGTTATTTCTTTATTCGTTTCAGGTTCAGATTTAGTATTTTTGTTTTTAGTTTTAGAACATAATCATGACTATCAGGTTTTAGACATGTGTAATCCGGTTCGATTACATTTATGTTTTATTCGGTTCAAATTGATTCGATTATTCTATTATTAACCAAATAAACTAATCATATATAATTTTTCATATATATATATATATAGATAGATACATATATATATATATAAGAAAAGTTTATTAGAAAAATAATTGACAAGTCGAAGGTTTTACTCTAAAACTTTTTTTTTTGTAATCGGGTATTCTGAACCAAGGTTCATAATAATCATGAGACCGAAAACTAACATGTGATTTGAATTATACGTTCTTTTCTAAATTTAATATTCGAATTTGGGATGAGACAGACGCTTTATTTGTAAAGTTGTTGTAAGTTAGATAACTTTACAAATTAAAAGTTTTATTATATATATTTTTGTAAGTTCAATATTATTTTTTTTGGGAAATTTTCCTAATAAATTTGTCTATATCCAACTATATATATATCGTATGTATATATATGAAAATATGTATGTATGTGAAATTTGATGGAGAGAGGTGCACGCAATAGTTGCAAATCTGATGGGGAAATGTGAATGGGTCTTCCTCGTGCTTCGCCTCCCTTCTGCATGGCCCCCCTTTTTTATTTCTTTTATTTACTTTTTTTCACCTTATTTTCTGGTTTCCCTCGCACATAGAATAATTAACTTAATTTAATTCCAATATTATTATACTTTGTTAAATGCACGTATCCATGTGTAAATATGTATATACACGTGTGTATATATATTGATGGACTTGGAAAATATATAGATATTTGTCTTTACGAGAGATACACCACGCCTAAAATCACGTTGGCGAGTTTATTTATAAAATTGTTTCTATGTTTATTTCGCATTTTTTTTTTGTATAATTAGAAAGAGGGGAGGGGAGCTATCAATTTTGAGGTCCACGAATTAGTGTTTGTTAATATATGAAATTTAAAATTAGAAAAAAAAATAATAACAATTTAATTTCGGTAACTATCATAATCGAAAGGTGTGGATAAGTGCGTGCGTGTGCGAATGGTAAGACCAAACTTGATTGGCCAAACCATGAAGGACCCGAAAATTGATCTCTCCTTTTAATGTAAGACACGAGTGCCACAAATCATGCAAAAAAAAAATATCGAAAATTAATTTAATTATTTCAATTTTCTCTAAGCTTTATATATATATATATATATATATATTAAATTATTTATTTCACCCGAATTTATGTCCTATATTTGTATGCCATGGTTGTCTGTGTTTTTATAGTAAAAAATTTTAAATTAATATCTCAAATGTTAAGATATTAAAATATTTTAAATAGATATTCCAACTCAGGCAATCAATAGCAATTTACAACCTTGATTCGTTTTTTATGTTAGAAATTAACATTTGATTTATACCTTATCATCGCAATCGAGATTGAAAATTATCATCAATTTCGTAAATTTTGTTTTTTTATTGAAAATTAACGTCTAATTTATATATTGTCGTTAGAGTTGAGGTTGAGAATTACCGCGTATTTCATGAGTTAAAATACCTATTTAGAATATTTTAATATTTGAGATATCAATTTAAAATATTATAACACTCAAACTATTAATTAGATCAAATTAAAAAATTTAGATATTTATTTAGCATAATTTGTAAAGTTGGATACATTTTCCCTAAAAAAAAAAGGATTGTGCTCAAAAGACATTTCACTAAAATTTATTTTGATCTGTGTTCCATTCAATTTAAAAAAAATATATAAAAGAAAAGGTGATTTAATTTAAGAAAAAGAAATAAAGACTTAAATATGAAATAAATATATGTAATGCAATATTTTATGTGTGGCTTTTGAAATCACATGGGTTGATACCCAAAAGGATAACCAAACCGTCCATGCGATGCGACGATAAAGTGAGCCCCAAGGGACATATCTTAAAGAAGATATTATTGGCCTAACTAACTAACCCCAAAATCCACGCTTTTATCATATGACATGACCCCGAAAAAGGCCAAGACAAAAAAAAAAAGATAGGTTTTATTTAATAAAACTATTTAGACGATAACATCGAATAAAAAGGGAAAATAATAGTTGTGATAATAAATAAATAAAAAAATTGAAATGATTGAGGTGAAAGCTTGGACAAAACAAAAAGGCCGACGGTTCACGTTTTGGTTTGGAAATGGTAAATATTATTATTAAAATCAATAAAAATGGATCAAATTTGTTTTAAATGAATATTTTTTTTAACGATAATCAATCTCGAACCGTATCTAAACAAATTTTGCATCTTATCGAAATATGAGCTAAACGTTAAATAGATATATTTGTTATTAGGTAATTTGAAAGAAAACAATTAAACTAAACAATTTTTTATCAAAATTTTCAAAATATTTTGTTTTTATCAAAACTAAATAAATTCTAAATTTATGATATTTATAAACTTCAAAAATTAAACTAAAAACTGAACTTTGCTACCCGAAATATTCGATTTAAATTTCTTTCAGTTTTACTACATATAGTAAATATTCGTACTAAATTTCTTTAACACTAAATATTCTGTCATATGGATTATATGTATATATATATATATATATATATATATATGATATAGAAGTCATATCTATATACAAGACAAATCAGTTATAGTTTCCTGTTTTTAATAGTTTTAATTTACCGTATTTTCGTAACTACTTATTAAAGAAACATAATATATTTACAAACTCTAATACATATATATAATATTTAAAATACTATTTGGCATCACATATATAATCATGTTCAAAGGCCATTAGAGTTCGTTTCGAAGAACTATATATATTATTAATTACTGAAACTTAGATAGTTTAACCGGTAAAATGAGACACAAAACGTGTGTATCATTTTAAATTCGAATCTCAAATTTGGAAAGATGTCGTATATTCCAAAATTATATGGTTGACCCGCAATTCTTAGATTAGTTTGATTTTGGTTTAGAACACTCAGTTATCAATATATATATATATATATATATATATATATATATTATGTCATTGATTATAAGATCAGTTAGAAATCGGTAGCTCACTACTAATCACATTAGAGATTTTTCGTAAGAAAAAACAAGTAAGAGTATATATGAAGCCACGACCGAACAAACGAAACTTGAGATTCTCTTAACCACTCATTGCATTGTCGGAACACAAAAAAACACTACTCATTTCATTTTCTTTTCACATTCATTTAATTAGTATATGTATATATACTACATTGGTCAATTTATAATATAATTCGAAATAATTTAAGATGTAACCAAAATATACTCAAACTATTTTTGGAGAATTACTTAAAATGCGAAGATTACTAACTAAGCCTCTTTGACCAAACCGAAAAGAATTTTCTAAGAAACACTTGAAACCGCCCAACTAATACCATATTTAAAAAAAAATGTCCAAAATAATATATTCGACGGCTGGTACGTTTTTTGCATATATTTATTAGTTACTTTATACTGATTTTAATAATAATTATTTTATTTTTCTTGGTCCATGCTCGAATCCCTTCAGTCCTTCTATATAACGCAACAAGTCTCTCCTCCGCTAACAACAACACCCACCCATATACACACACAAAAAAAAAAGCATGAGAAGTCTAAGGCCAAAGAGGTTCTGCATAGGATTTGGGTGTGGAGGAATCGGGATTGCCAAAAAAGGACATGATCATAAAAGATCATCATCATCATCGTCATCATCATCATCATCATCATCATCAGGTAACAACAACATCGAGTGGGAGAAGAGGCCGGGAGGAATGCTGGTTCAGAAGAGACCGGGAGGACAGAACGTTGAAGATTTGATAACTGTCAGAGTCTTCTCCACTGCTTCTCAGTTTTGGCATGAAATCTCCATCGACTCCAACTCCACTTTCGGTAATTATCTTATATAATACATGGCACATACATATATACATATATGTTTACATGTGCATATATATATATATGTCGTATACAATAGGTGCATTTAATTTCTTTTGATATTTTTGTAAAAGACAATTATATATATATACAGAGAGAGAGAGAGATTTAGCTTAAAATGGTTACATGCCACAAAATATTTCGTATTGGTACGAACGTTTGCAACCCCTATATATATATTTTTAGATAATTAAGTGTCATGAACCGAGATCCAGTCTACTATATGGAGTGGAAACAACCCATGTAATTGAAATTACGTCCACTTTCCAACCTGAGGCTCGAATCGGGGTGAGGCAGACGCTTTGCATTCTCATTTCATCGGTTGAACAATCCAAATTGGGTTCTACAATATATATATATATATATATATATATATATATATATGTAAATATAAATAAATATGTATGTTTTGCCATATATATGTAATTAATTTTAAACCACAGGTGAAATGAAGATGATAATATCGATGGCGAGTGGGATGGAGGCAAGAGAGCAGAGAATACTGTACAGAGGGACTTGCTGTTGGAAGATCCTGCCCTCAAGGAGATGAAGCTCCTTCTCCGTACCGAATCCACTAATCTCCCAATTACTGTGTGATTAGTCCCCTAATTACTCATCTCTTACTTGATTTTTCACTGCCTGTAAGCTTGTATTATAAAAGAAATCGAATTAATTACTGCTAATTTGGCATATGCATATGTTTACCATCGGTTAGCTCTTGATTATTAGTCTCTATAACCACCGGAGAGAGGGGATTGAGTTTGCCTTCGTTATGTAGTTTGTTTGTTGCAAATGTTTTCTTTAAGGCGACGTTGTTGTATTGTGTCATCAAGATTTTTTTTTCATGAATTCTTGAAACCCTAAAATTTTATGGTTTGAATCTAACATATGTGGAAGATAATAATAAACAAAAAATTATTTAGAAATTAAGTATAAAAAAAGAAGTATTTTACGCTCTATATATGAAAATTCCAGATACGAGAGTGTCGACGAACATTGTATATTCTGTGCTGAGACTGAGACATACATGAAATACATACATGTATCCATAATTATCTGTAAAGATGTATGTTTATATATATATATATGTGTGTGTGTGTGTGTGTGTGTGTATGATACAATTAATAGTATGGCACGCGTGCACGCCGGCACTAATGAAAGTGGTGATTTAAAAAGCCCTGGCTTTAATTGGCACAAGTACAGTTAATTTATATATGGATTTCAGTTAATTAATTCTTATATTTAATATTTTATGGTAAGAAAAACAACAACTTTTAATCCGCATGGTCATTTAGGCTAAAATTTACAAAAAAAAAAAAAAAAGGTTTATTGAGTCTCGATGGACCAAAGTCATGCGGGCTTTATTTGGACCAATGTGGACTGAGCTGTCTCAGCGACTAGTATTCGTCGTTTTTGGATTTTTTTTTTATATATATAAAAACCCTGAAATTGTTAGATGCAACATGATCCAAGGAAATTTGATAGATTGAAAAAAGGGAAAATACAATATAAATATATAAATGTTACTCCCTCCTTTTTTTTTAACTTTAGATGACTTTTTAGAGTAAAATTGTTGTTTTAAAACAAATGACGTTTTTATATTTTCGTAATTTTTAATATTTTTCTAAATTTAACCGCTATTATTTTATTGGAAAGTTAAAAATGACAATATTTTATCATTAATCAGAGTAATTACAAAAGGTATTTTGGACAAAATATTTTTGTTTAAAGCTAAAACGTCATCTAAAGGTAGGGATGTAAATGGGTTAGCCCGTCTCAATCCATCCCGACTCATTTTGATCTGGGAATATTTTAACCCAGTCTAATACAATCTGTTTTTTAACGCGCTAAAAATATATCAATCCACTCCAAATCGTTTTAACACGCGAACCAAATAAGCCGTTCACAAAAAAAAATGACCGATAAAGTATTAAAAACCTTGCATTGTTAAAAAAAAAACAAAGTAATATATATAAAGATACATAAAAATACGAAAATATGTTAAAAAAATAAAAATATAAATTTATCGGGAAACGGAAATATATATATATATATACACACACGAGAAAAAGTGGATTATTCATCCGAAAATCAAAAGGCATCAGCGAACTTGTTAGTTCACCCCAAGAATTCATGATTCTATTTATGACGAACTTGTCACGAACGTACCACAGCTCCTTTTGAACTGAATTCATGAATATAATTATTTATTCCCACTTTATTGTGTATTTATTAATGGAAGCTATACATATATATACATATATATATAGAGAGAGAGAGAGATTCAGATCATTGAAACTCTATCAGAATCACTAAAGAAACTTTCATAAAAAATGGAAAAATGATTCATCGAACATTTTCTCTATATATATATATATATATATATATATATAACAAGAAACGATTTCAAATAACCTTTAGGTTTTTGTTCTTTATCAAATTTATAATTTTATGTGGTACTGGATTTTGTATATTTTTCACAAATCCCATGGGCCAACCATTATAAAAAAACAAATAAATGAGTATTAAAAAAAGAACAAAAGGCATGAAAACACGTATTTTATAATTAAAAAAAAGTCAACATATGTTTTAACTTTTAATGAAGCCTTGAAAATTGATGACATATTTTGGAATTTCTGATTTTATTCTCATGTAATCAGAATGCGAAGCATACTTGGAGAGGATTTTAAAAAAAAGGTAAAGAAAATTATTTAATTTATGAAATTGTAAAAAATATATATCCCTAAACTTTTTGTTTAATAATTTTATTCCTATAAGATGTGTTTTTATAATTTTTAAATTTTTTAATTGATGTAAAATTTGACGACGTTGCTTTAAAAATTAATTTAGAAATTATAATGAAATATTTTACAATTTTAAAAATTATAATGATATATTCTATAAATTTAAAATAAATTTATTAAATAAAAAGGTTATAAATTTATTTTTCGCCGTTCATAAGTTTAAGGAATTTAAGTTTTTCAGGGGTTTTTTTACCGTGAAAAGAGAGAAAACGAGAAAACGAGAAAAAAAAAAAGGGGAAAGGGAGGAGGAACATAGAGTATATCGCCAAACATGGCGGCTTACCGGATCGACGGCATCACACGTACGTTTACGTTGTCTTCCCTTTCGACGTGTATTCTCCATCTCCGTTTCCCATGCGATTCCACTCATCCATCTCTCTCATTTTCTTCTCTTTCTCTTCACGTTCTCTCCGTCTCTTCTCTTCTTCTTCTTCTTCTTCTTCTTCTTCTTCTTCTTCTTCTTCTTTCTCTCGTCTCTCATCCTCTTCCGCATCCTCCGTCATGGCTCCCGCCTTCGAGAAGCGCCAACAAGGAAATGGCAACTGTGGTAATGGCGATTCGAAATCTAGGATTACGGTCGTCGGCAGTGGGAATTGGGGAAGTGTTGCCGCTAAGCTCATTGCTTCTAATGTCCTTAAGCTTCCATCATTTCATGGTAATGCCTCTCTCTCTCTCTCTCTCTCTCTCGATCGAGTTTTTTTTTTACGAGTTTGGACGATTTTCGCTTCATGGGCTGTTCATGCAATTACCCTGTAGCGATCATAATTTCGGTTTTTTTGGGTTACGCATCGAAGGAATTGAACTTGAAGTTTCCTGCAATTCAGAAGTTTTATAGTTCGCATCCCTGCTAAAGAACACAATGTGATTTGAATTATCTTCACCGTGTGTGATTTCGCATGCGTAGATGCAATTCATCCATATAATCTGTGTTTTCATGGACACAATATGCTGTTGTAATGAATAATGATAACCGATAATTTGTGTTTATCCATATGCTGATGTAATGATATTGAGGATTCCTGTAGTTTCGGGTTCCATCTTTTGAATAGAACGCTTGGATTAATCTTTCATTTCTGTTTACATACTTATATCCAAATTTTGTGCTTAAACAAAGTGGATTCCATAAAAAAAAAATTGCAGATGAAGTGAGGATGTGGGTGTTCGAAGAGGTTCTACCAAATGGTGAGAAGCTTACTGATGTTATCAACAAGACCAAGGTAAAGGGACACCCATATGATCTGATACTTCAGATTCGTAATTTCCAGAAAAAGGAACGAACTTTGGCTCGGTTTCTAACTGGTATCCCGGTTTATTGAGCAGGAAAACGTTAAGTATCTCCCTGGGATTAAACTAGGGAGAAATGTCATTGCAGATCCAGACCTCGAAAATGCAGGTCAGTTCTACTGCTAAAGTCTATGAGGCCGAGAAACAAAAACATCGAAACTTTGGTTCGTTCGTTGTCATGGGTGTTTTCTGATGCAGTGAAAGAATCAAACATGCTGGTCTTTGTTACACCACATCAGTTCATGGATGGTATATGCAAGAGACTAAGGGGAAAAATAGATGGAGCTGTTGAGGCAATTTCTCTAATTAAAGGGATGGAGGTGAAGAAGGAAGGCCCCTGCATGATCTCCAGTCTGATCTCTGAGCAACTCGGTATCAGTTGCTGTGTCCTGATGGGGGCAAACATTGCAAACGAGGTCGTCATGTCGAATTTTTTTTCCCCGGCTGTTCTTGTGAGAGGTATGTTGTTGTAATGTTTCTTCTGGCATTGTGGTGACTGATGTAGATTGCGGTGGAGAAGTTCAGCGAAGCAACGGTTGGATACAGAGGGAGTAGAGAAATACCGGACAAATGGGTGCAGTTGTTTACTACTCCATATTTCATGGTAACAGCGGTAAGTGTAACTTTTCCATGCCTTCTTTTTCACTTGATAAAAAGCTCTCTCATCATAGTTTGGAAGGCCGTGGAAACAACAAAAGGGACGGTGATTGTTCTTGCTGTCTAGGAGTTTCCAAAATCTTGATATTACATCTTAGGTTGTAAGAATGGCACTTGTCTAAAAAAAATAGGTTCACGATGTGGAAGGAGTCGAGTTGTGTGGGACTTTGAAGAATGTTGTGGCCTTAGCAGCGGGTTTTGTGGATGGGCTGGAAATGGGTAATAACACAAAGGTACCGATGAATAAGTGGGAATGTTTCCTTATGGTCTAGCCTCTGGGAACTATTTTTGAACCTTCTTCTTGTGCTGTTAAAAAAAAAAACTAGGCTGCTATTATGAGGATTGGCCTGAGAGAGATGAGAGCCTTCTCAAAGCTTCTGTTTCCATCTGTGAAGGACAGTACATTCTTCGAGAGCTGTGGGGTAGCAGATGTCATCACAACTTGCTGTAAGAAACCCCCCATTATCTTGCTTATGTCTATCGTGATTCGTGAAGCTTGATACCATTTGACACCGGTTTCTTTGCTGATTGATTATGGATGGCAGTAGGAGGAAGAAACAGAAGAGTTGCTGAAGCATTTGCACGAAATGGAGGGAAAAGGTTCAACCTTTGTTTATCAAATCGTTATTGCAAAATCGGGGAATTCTGTTTTACAATCTTCTGGATCGTATTTGATTGGCCTTGCCGGGGCATTCCACAGGTCTTTTGATGAACTTGAAGCAGAGATGTTACAGGGTCAAAAGTTACAGGTACAACACCAAAACGCTTGGTGAAAACATTGCTAGAACGAACTTAGTATTTCTTTTCATTTTCATTCAAATGGGCATAATAAACTTCACAAATGCCAGGCCAAATGGGCACTGATAATAAATAAAATACGATAATAAACATATAAGTGTATGATTAACTAGGCTTAGACCAAAGTAGACAAGTAGAGGTTTTTTCAGACAAACTTTGAGGTTTTTCCTGTGTTGTTTCTTTGTGCCATGTTCTGGGTGAAGGGAGTCTCAACGGCGAGAGAGGTCTATGAGGTTCTGAGCCACCGTGGTTGGCTCGAGCATTTTCCACTTTTGTCAAGTGTCCATGAGATCTGCACTGGTCGGCTTCCCCCTTCGGCCATTGTTAACTATAACGATGAACACAAGCTCGGCTCCTACTGATGCTCCATAACTGAGGTTTCTCAGCTTCGGTTCTCTAACTACCATTCATTCTAAAGGTCTTTTACATCTGGAAATGAAGAGAATCAAGGTTCTTGCCATGGAGGAGATCGACCCTGAGGATCCGGATTTTTTTGTGTTTTCTGCGAAATAATATATGCGAAAAGTTTACATCTTTCCGTCGTTTTTGTAAAAACTCGTGATGTGCTGATTTAATGTGTAAGTTTTGTTATGCCATAAGGTGGTTTTCCGGCAAGAGATCAGCTGTTTCCCGGTGATTTGGGAGCGTCAAGTGTTGTGATACTTGTTTGCTGGAGGCCAGACTCGAACACCTCGGAGGGGCTTGTCACAGATTCGGTTAAGTAAACCGGTCATGAACCGGCGATATGAAATGTTGAAATCGAACCGGTAATTGGACTGGATCAAGATTTAGTGGGTTTATAATGGATCTAACTATTGTAATGGGTTTCTTATGCGTAGGCCCGATTTGGAGTTGTGATAGTAATTTGTGTTGTCGTCTTCTGCCTTGTTGTACCCGATTTTTGTTTGCATTAACCGGATACTAAACCGGATTCATGCGGCAATTCATCGCATTAATCGAGTCGAGAACCAGATTGGACACGTGGAGGTTAAACGGCCCAAAACCGAGATTATCCAGTTTTCATTTTTATTTTTATTTTTTGAATTTTTTTCAGGTCTATGGGTTTAAATTAAAATGACCCTAAAAGTTCATTGGGCAAAATTGCAAAAATAACCCCAAATGTCTATCTTTACTTCAAGGCATAACCTTCTAGGTTTAGGGTTTTAAAAAAAAAAACTTAAATAACGAAAAGACTAGTTTACCCTTAAAAAATTGAACACGTGACAATTCGTGAAAAAAACATTCGAAAAATTTATTCTCTCACTTTTTTTTTTAAAATTCAAAACGTATTTTTTTTCTTTTTCTCTCCAAAGAGATGTCGTTGGCGATTCTAACAACAAATTTCTCAATTTTCGTCTTACACTCGACATATTTCTCTACTATGACGAGATCTCACATTCCAAAATTGAAGAATTTGAGAATGCATGGAAAGTGTTCGATAAAAATCCTCAGAGAAATTTTGGCTCTTAAAACGTCATACATGTCATATCGGTCAGACTTTAGTCATACCGATCAGATTTTGGTCAGACGTTCACAATTTGGTTAGCCGGTCACACTTTGAGTAAATATGACTTATGTTAATAGATTTTTTTTTATATTAGAATTAGATCACCAAAACGATGAAATGTATTCTTGTAACCCTTATACAACTTTTTGAATCGTTTAAACTTAATTTAGACCTTTATTTTTCGTGTAAAAATGGTCATACCGGTCACACTTTGATAAGACGGTCAGACATTGGTCATACAGTCAGAATTTGGTCAGACGGTCAGACTTCTTGAAAATTGATGAATTTATAATTTTAAAAGTGTTAATTGGTATACTAATAATCTCATACAACACGTTTTTTAAATTTAAAATCGGTCAAACGGTTAGACTTTGGTGAGACGATCAGACTTTGGTCATACGGTCAAACTTTGGTCATAACGATCATATTTTGATCATATCATTAGACTGGTCATATGATTATACGAGCCAGACTAGTCATACTTTTTCAAAAATGATGAATTTACGAATTTAAAAGTGTAGATCAAACATGTTCTTCTTATATTGAATTTTGGCTTATTAGGGTTTCGCTTCGATTCGATTCGAAGGAACAATATCATTTAAGCTTACACTCGTCAAACTTTTCCTCTAGAACGAGATCCGACACACCAAAGTTGAAGAATTTGAGAATGCATGGAAAGTGTTTGATAAAAATCCTCAGAGAAATTTTGGCTATCGAAATGGCACATCGGTCAAACCGATCTGATTTTGCTTATGGTGCGAAGAACAACAATGTCATCAACAACTCATTCCACATAGACCTAAAGTAATAGTAGTGTTTATATAACACATTGAGTACAATTGACTTATGTCGAGAGATTTTTTTTTCTACGTGAAATTAGAACTCCAAAACGATGCAAAAGTAATCTTATAACCCCTACACAACTTTTCGAATCGTTTAGATTTAATTTAGGTATTTTTTTCGTACTCAAATGGGTGGTTGGCTCGAGCATTTTCCACTTTTGTCAAGTGTCCATGAGATCTGCACTGGTCGGCTTCCCCCTTCGGCCATTGTTAACTATAACGATGAACACAAGCTCGGCTCCTACTGATGCTCCATAACTGAGGTTTCTCAGCTTCGGTTCTCTAACTACCATTCATTCTAAAGGTCTTTTACATCTGGAAATGAAGAGAATCAAGGTTCTTGCCATGGAGGAGATCGACCCTGAGGATCCGGATTTTTTTGTGTTTTCTGCGAAATAATATATGCGAAAAGTTTACATCTTTCCGTCGTTTTTGTAAAAACTCGTGATGTGCTGATTTAATGTGTAAGTTTTGTTATGCCATAAGGTGGTTTTCCGGCAAGAGATCAGCTGTTTCCCGGTGATTTGGGAGCGTCAAGTGTTGTGATACTTGTTTGCTGGAGGCCAGACTCGAACACCTCGGAGGGGCTTGTCACAGATTCGGTTAAGTAAACCGGTCATGAACCGGCGATATGAAATGTTGAAATCGAACCGGTAATTGGACTGGATCAAGATTTAGTGGGTTTATAATGGATCTAACTATTGTAATGGGTTTCTTATGCGTAGGCCCGATTTGGAGTTGTGATAGTAATTTGTGTTGTCGTCTTCTGCCTTGTTGTACCCGATTTTTGTTTGCATTAACCGGATACTAAACCGGATTCATGCGGCAATTCATCGCATTAATCGAGTCGAGAACCAGATTGGACACGTGGAGGTTAAACGGCCCAAAACCGAGATTATCCAGTTTTCATTTTTATTTTTATTTTTTGAATTTTTTTCAGGTCTATGGGTTTAAATTAAAATGACCCTAAAAGTTCATTGGGCAAAATTGCAAAAATAACCCCAAATGTCTATCTTTACTTCAAGGCATAACCTTCTAGGTTTAGGGTTTTAAAAAAAAAAACTTAAATAACGAAAAGACTAGTTTACCCTTAAAAAATTGAACACGTGACAATTCGTGAAAAAAACATTCGAAAAATTTATTCTCTCACTTTTTTTTTTAAAATTCAAAACGTATTTTTTTTCTTTTTCTCTCCAAAGAGATGTCGTTGGCGATTCTAACAACAAATTTCTCAATTTTCGTCTTACACTCGACATATTTCTCTACTATGACGAGATCTCACATTCCAAAATTGAAGAATTTGAGAATGCATGGAAAGTGTTCGATAAAAATCCTCAGAGAAATTTTGGCTCTTAAAACGTCATACATGTCATATCGGTCAGACTTTAGTCATACCGATCAGATTTTGGTCAGACGTTCACAATTTGGTTAGCCGGTCACACTTTGAGTAAATATGACTTATGTTAATAGATTTTTTTTTATATTAGAATTAGATCACCAAAACGATGAAATGTATTCTTGTAACCCTTATACAACTTTTTGAATCGTTTAAACTTAATTTAGACCTTTATTTTTCGTGTAAAAATGGTCATACCGGTCACACTTTGATAAGACGGTCAGACATTGGTCATACAGTCAGAATTTGGTCAGACGGTCAGACTTCTTGAAAATTGATGAATTTATAATTTTAAAAGTGTTAATTGGTATACTAATAATCTCATACAACACGTTTTTTAAATTTAAAATCGGTCAAACGGTTAGACTTTGGTGAGACGATCAGACTTTGGTCATACGGTCAAACTTTGGTCATAACGATCATATTTTGATCATATCATTAGACTGGTCATATGATTATACGAGCCAGACTAGTCATACTTTTTCAAAAATGATGAATTTACGAATTTAAAAGTGTAGATCAAACATGTTCTTCTTATATTGAATTTTGGCTTATTAGGGTTTCGCTTCGATTCGATTCGAAGGAACAATATCATTTAAGCTTACACTCGTCAAACTTTTCCTCTAGAACGAGATCCGACACACCAAAGTTGAAGAATTTGAGAATGCATGGAAAGTGTTCCTATTATTAAGATTTGTGTGTAATCGATGAAATGCCCAAACTTAATATTGTTTTTTCACAACAAATTAGTTGAAAAATAGATTGGAAATGAAGAGAACTTGAAGATCAGAGAATGGGCGAGAAGAGAATGTAGTTTGTTCGACATATGCGGATGGAGAGAGAGAGAGCTGGAAGAGGAGAGATAGGTTGAAATATTTTTTTTAAATGAAAATATTAAATAAAAAAGGAAGGGTATTTTTGGAAAGATACAATTATGAGGTTATGAAATGATGTTGGTTTTTAAAAAAAAAGAAGGGAGGTCATGTCATGAAGTAAAAATGACATTTAAAGTCATTTTTGTAATTTCCCCAGTTCATTGAGAGCCCATTTATAGATGTGCTAAAGTTAGGGTTAGGGCCGAAAGGAATTAATTGCTCTTCAGCCCCCCTATTTTGCATTTGTTAATTGGGGGAGAAGAAAACTTGAAGCTTTCTCACTCTTGAGTTCTTTCTCTTCGTCTTCGATTCGCTTCGAGCTCAATTCAGAGGAAAATCACTCTCCGGTGAAGCTTGGGTATTTTTCTTGCTCTAGTTTTTCTCTGTTTCCATCCTCCTTACCTTTCTGTCCGCGATTCCGGCGATTTTGACCGGATTGCTGGACCCAACGAACTCCATCCGGATGATCTGATTCAATCTTTAACTGGGATTTTGATGCTCATTCAGTACAGAATTGTAATTTTCACTTCTGGGTCGGCGGATGTCGGATCGATTTCCGGCTTTATTGTGAAGTGCTTATGATGATTAGTAAGTTTTTTTGGGTCGTCGTTTGATGTTCGTGTTGCATTTGCTGTTGTAGACTGGTGAAATCGAAAAATGTCGCAATCTTCGGTCGATGTTCCGCCAAAGGGTGGGTTCAGCTTTGATCTGTGTAGGAGGAATGAGATGCTTGCGCAGAAAGGTCTTAAAGCTCCTTCTTTCCTGAAGACGGGTACCACCATCGTTGGGTTGATTTTCCAGGTCTGTTTTGTTCCGACATATCTTTTCTTCATACTCGTGGCTGGAGTTGCAATTTTAGTGTTTGAATTTGTGGGTATTTGAGATGGCGAATCTCGCAATGTATTGTCTCATCCAACGTTTTTGTTTTGGTATGGGTTATGGATTCCGTAGTATATCATACAGGTGGATGGAATACTCTTGTGTCTTAACAACAATGGAAGCTGATTATCATTCTTTTGTTGAGCAAAAATGGACAAGGGGTTTAAGGATACCATGTTAAGATGATTTGGTTTCACAACATAGAAGCTGAAACTACAACTTCGTAAATTCGTTCCGGCTTGCAACATGAAACTAGAAGTTGTTGTTTGTATGATCGACCTCTAACCTGGACTTCATCACCATATCAGATTGTTTTGTCAGGATGTGTGGGGTGCTCTCTTGATGGTTACCTGTAGAAAATTTGTGAGGAATCCTTCTTTTTTCATCCGAATTTTGATTTTTTTGCTCAGTTGTTCAGCGCATTTGATGTAGGATTCATTTCTTTCAACATGTATTGTTTCTTGTTTGTTTGACAACTTGTTGATGAAATCAATCCCCTGAGTGGCAACAGCATGTAATATGTGATTGATTTTGGTGGTCCTTTGTTGTTGTTACTGTGTTGTACTCTCTTGGCAAATACTTGTTGAAGATATGCAATTTTGGTGTCATTTTCCGGTTTATGCAGGATGGCGTGATACTTGGGGCTGATACCCGGGCAACTGAGGGGCCCATAGTTGCTGATAAGAACTGTGAGAAGATTCATTACATGGCACCAAACATATACTGCTGTGGTGCAGGAACTGCTGCCGATACTGAAGCAGTTACGGGTATTTCCTTAAACCCGAGTTTTTTAAACTGTAGTGCCAGCTTTGGTTGTTCCTCTCTCCTTGTCTGTTAAATCAGTTAAAAGCTATCAAAAATCACAAAACTCGATATGTTTTGAAATCTTGGTTTCTGTCTTAATGTTTCAGATATGGTCAGCTCGCAGTTGCGGTTGCACCGATATCGAACCAACCGAGAGTCGAGGGTCATCACTGCTTTGACTCTTCTCAAAAGACATCTATTCAGGTTTATATCATTTCTATCTCCTCGAGAAGCTTGTGTAATGGTTTGTGACGAGTACCTGGTTGTTTTTAACTGCTGCTCTTGTTTGTACCATTTAGCTACCAAGGTCATGTCTCAGCTGCTCTTGTTCTTGGTGGAGTTGATGTTACAGGACCTCATCTTCACACTGTGAGTTGAGTTTTGATTTTTCCCCCTTTTTGCCCAGAAAGAGATTTTATCATTCAGGTTCTCAGTTCTCACTTCTCTTAATCTCTAACATTTGATTTGGCTAAACTGTAGATATACCCGCACGGATCAACTGACACTCTGCCGTTTGCTACCATGGGGTCTGGCTCTCTTGCTGCAATGGCTGTGTTTGAGGCAAAGTACAAAGAAGGTCTAACGGTAAGTTAGCCAAGAAGGTAATCTTTAACTGATCAAATTTCTTCTCTGTGTTCTTTCTAATGGATTCTAGTGTCGAAAATCCTCCAGAGAGATGAAGGAATTAAGTTGGTAGCTGAAGCCATATGCTCGGGTATATTCAATGACTTGGGCAGTGGAAGCAATGTGGATATTTGCGTGATCACGAAGGTATCTCCCCCTTTCAGATCTCCCTGTTTTGGCTTTTTAGTTGTCCTGACAATCAGGGTGCTCAATTCAATCATCAATCTTGTAATGCTTTGGACATCTGGTCTAATGATGTGATTGAACCCTAAAAGGGATACAATCCGAAACCTAATGTGGGTTTTCACCACTGAATCAAACTCTTGGGAAAACACTATAGAAGTTGTACAAAACTGGGTTAGCTAACGCAATTTGGGCAACAGGGACAGAAGGAATACCTCAGGAATTACATGCTGCCCAACCCAAGAACATATGTCAGCAGCAGAGGGTATACATTCTCCAAGAAAACTGGTAAAGCTCCTTTGTCTTTGCTCGTTAAAGATCAGTTGAAACTATAACAAGTTCCTCTCGCTGTTTTCACATAAACTAGAGTTTTCTTTCCATAAACACTTCCCCTTAGGTGTCTAATTGTCTGCCCATTTCTTGTCATTTCATTATGTTGTAAGATATGGGTTTGTCATTGTTGTTTCCCCGAACAAAAAACCGTTTATTTTTTTGCTGGAAACAGAGGTTCTTCAGACGAGAATCACGCCATTGACGGAAAGGGTGGAAGTTGTAGAAGTGGGCGAGGCCATGGAGGAATGAATGAATGAACTCACTTGAGCTAACATTGTCTTTTGCCCCCTTCTTTCCCTGTCTTTGAGGGTTGTATCAGTGAAGACAAGTGAGATTCCGTAGTGTTTTTTTTTTCCTTCTATGCTATGTTTAAGATTCTCATTTGGGTTACGCAAATGAACTTCTTTGATTGAAATGGCTATGGATGTGGTTGTTATTTGTACTGATTTAACACATTGGTATTATGGCTCTCCACACCATAATAACATTAACATCGTTGGCAACAAACACCATATGAAATAAGCTGCTGGCCAATTTGAAATTGAAAATTTATTTGAAAAAAATGAGCATGTTTATTAATAAAGATAGCTTCGACTATCGAATACAAACTTACTAGATAATAACCCGCGTACTAAATATTTACGAACTTAAATAATTTTTTTATTTTTAAAATTAAATATAATAAATTTTGTTTTTAAATTTATAATTTAAATTATTTTATTAAAATATTTTTTTGTCAAAGTGTAAAAATAATAAGATGATAAGGATGAATCTAAATATAATAGTATGGGGTATTATATCCCACGCTATAATTAACAAAATATAATTTATTCATTCGTAATATTTTTATCACTATTTTCTTTCTTTATATGTTTCTCTTATCATTTTTTATATCTGCATGCATCATGTAGACTTAAAATCTCAAATCTCAAAATGTTTAATAATTTTCTACACTATCTCCAATGATATTAAATTTTGGTGAATTGCGATAAGTAAATATATGATATGCTTTACTACGTGAACATGCCACGCCACTAAACTAAAATTGAATATTTTTTCGGTTCATATTAAATTAATTGGTTTGGTTGATTCGGTAATGATTTTATGATGATTTTGAGTTGTAGTATGATATGAAACACTTGACGTTTATATTTGTATTTAATTTGTTAATATGATTATAGCAAAAACTAATATAAATTGTTTGAGTTGAACTAAATATAAATAGAAAATTTTAATAATATAAAAACATTATTATATTTTTTTGCAAACAGAATTAAATAAATGACAGAATATTGTTATTGCTGCATAGATATTTTACCACTGTAACCAATTTATTATGGTTGTCTTTAGTACTGGTGTGACTTTCTTCAATGCCTGTCAAAAATTCGGTTGTGAAGCAATAATAAAAATTATTTTGGTAAATATTATAAATATAGGTTTTTTCAAGAATAATATAATTTATTTACCTTAAACGGAAATTTTTGATAATGTCCAATTTTTCATCTATATAAATCTTTGTAGACATTGATGTGTTGAGTGATAGAACACCTGATACATAAAATGTATTAGTAAACTCAATATAATAATGATAATGATTTTTAAATATTAATCTATCAAATATTTAGAAATTAATTTGTGTTAAATAATTACCGTGAATAATCTTTGGATTTACATCCGTAACTACTGCGATACTTTTTCTGACATTCAATCTATGAATTTGTGAACTGATTTCTGCAGCGAGATCATCCCATACAGAAAGCTTGACGATATTGTTACTGGTTTTTAAATTGAAATTATATGTTAGTTTGTATAAAACTAATTTAGTTAAAATTTTATAAAATGATATTTTATCAATGTAAATAAAATTTGAAAACTTATTCTTCCAATAAATAAATGAAGAATAATTTTCTGAGTTGACGACGACATTCGTAAATTTGATCTTTGTATTGCGACTAAAACTCCAATAATATCTGCAACATTAGAGAATATATTAATTATAAAATCCAATATTTTTTTTTGGTTTTTTTTATATTATCACATACTTGGTAGATCGTGTTTTTTATTTGCCAACGCCAACAAATCGTCGTATAAACATATTCAAAATTTTTCTTTGGAAATACTATAAGTAGTTACAATAACTTTTTCAATATTAGTATATTCTGTAAAATAAATACGAAATTTACTGTTCGTTAATTTGTATATATTTTTATTTGGTAGAATCTTAAAATGTCTGATTAAAAATACATCTCTCTCGTTTATTATATTTTTAAAATTTTCTGCATGATCCTGAAATATTTTTCCTTCAACAATATTCTCGTACAACGTTATAAGTAGAAAAGATTAGATTTTTAATAAACATGGTATACGAAAATCAATGTTAATTAGAACGTACATTTTCATCAATTAATAAGAATCTGATGCCATTGAACCTATTCCCATTGAAAGGATTTCGTTCATCCCATATTCGTAAAAATCTGACCATAATACACCGATAATTATGATGTATACTCATCTGATCCAATCCTACATGGGTTGATATCACTAGATGCATCTGATATTTAGATTCCTACAATAAATTTTTATTTGATCCATAACAACATTATTTGTAATATAATATATTTATTCATTATTTGTATATAAATAAGGCAATCGTTGACTGAAATAATATATGTATTTACACACAAAAATCGGCGGGATATCATATTTAAAAATATAAAAAATATGATTAGCAGATAAATATTATATTTTATATAAATTAATGAAAATTTAACAAAATGCAACATAAGTGATGTTTAGGTTGATCCACCAAATTGTTCTAAATAAAACTTTTATATATATAGATGTGGAGAATAATAACTATATAACCCGTGAATCATTATTAGTAAACTTAAATCAAAAAATAAAATTATATATATATATATATATATATATATATAAAACAAACATGTTAAACAAAAATCGGTAAACAAAAACAAATTTTTTTACTTCTATATATAAACATATATAATATAGATACTGATATAAATATAAAAAAAATTAAATATATGCTTTGTATGAAATGTTATGTTTACTTACATTTAACAAATTGATAGCACTAACCAAATGATATATTCACTGATTAATCTTCATTATTATCAAAGTAAATTCAGAAAAATACTATTAATCAAATATAAAAAAACCAAACAGTTAAATAAAAAATAAGAAACAAAAACATATTCTTTTTACTTTTTATAAATAAAATAAAGATATAGATTACATATTAGATATGATAACATAAGAAAATTTTAAAAAGAATTTTGCTTGGAATTATATTTTTTTTAAAATAATATAAATATATTGCATCATCAGATCTATTTTATTCTTCTATAATATTAATGACGAAGGAAGACCATGGTTTTGTTGATGTTATTTAGAGAAAATATGAAATTTTCATGCATTGAATATGAAATATTACTAAAATAAATATATTTTAAAGATATTAGACATCGAAAATAGAATAATTGAAATGAATGTAACTAAAAAAATCGAGAGGGTAAATATAGATATGGACATCGTGAGAAAAAAATTGTTGTTATATATATATATATATGATTTTAATGTAAAAAATAAATAAATTTAAAATTAAATTTCACAAAGTTTTCTTTTTTTAAATACCTCGATCAAAGTATTGAATACAAATTAAACTAATATATTATATATTTATACGTTTATATAAACTAATTTAAATAATGTTTTAAATACGATTAAAAATAACGTACGTAGATAGTCTTTTTAAATTAATATATAATACATCTATAAATAGTTTTATAAATTGAATAACATAGTTATTTTCTCACTAAATATTGCTCAAACTAATAATTTAAATAAAAGGTTTTTAAATATATTTTTTATGGGATACATGTCACTAACATTTTGTGACAACCCAGATTTCAAAAAAAAAAAAAAAATGGACCGAACGGACCGGTGATGACAGACTGGACGGACCCCTGACCAGACAGTCCGGAACGAATGGACCAGATTGTCGGGAGCAATTTTCGTCCGGATCGGACCTGAAAGCGACTGATGCGCACCAAATCCCGACCAACAATCCAATTTTCTCGACCCTAGAGACCGTAGGATGCGATTTTTCTACCATGGGTCCGGATTTCCACCAAAAATTCGACCAATTCGGGCTTTATTTAGCCATCTTCTTCCCCTTCATTCTTCCTCAACCTCAGAGCCGAATTCTCCCTCAAATCCGACGAACTCACGTTCTTACTTGCTTCTACATACCAAGAGAAGCATCGCCAAGCCCCTTATCTGTCACCCAGAGCACATAATTAATCCGAGGTGAGTGAATTCGAGTTTAATTCGGAAGTCTGTTGACATAGGGTTTGGATTTTTGTGTGTTTCATGCGAAATTGATGCTTGATTCGTGTTAAACATGAGATTTTATGAGTTTTAGTGTATTATCCATAGTGAATCGTGCATGTTTGAGTGTTTTTTGATGAAATCCGAGGACTAGAACGTCCAGTATGAGGTCAGACCGTACGGTCTAGACAAGGCGGAACGTCCGTTCTGAACCGACAGAACCGATCGGTCTAGGAGCTAGACCGATCGGTCTGAACGAAAATCAAACCGAAAAAAAAATGAAAAATGAAAAATGTAAAATAAATCGAAAATACGGGCCAGATCGGACCCCACGTAGTCTGGACCTAAAATGAATAACATGTAAAGTTAAAAACCACGGAATCAACCGAACTGGTTATCCGGGCAGACCGAGACCAGACATGTCATACCGGAGGTACAATTCGGTAATTTAAATGGAAAGACTCAAAGAAAATATATGAATGAATATAAAAGACTACGTAAGCAAAAATGCATGTATAATAAATAAACTATATAATGCGTGTGACTGGGGTAGCTGGCATGGCGTTAACGTTAATTCGAAAGGGTTCGGATTAACGATTAGCGCATGATTGTAGAAACAGACGTTTGTGAATGATTGCACAATGTTTGCGAGATTGTGTCCCATCCATGGGCCATCCGATCCGGGTCGGATGTCATCCATATGGGATATGATTGTGAATGAGGCAATAACCTAATTGCGCCAACGTCCAAACGATGGGACGGTTATGGGCACCCCGATGACTTGCGTAGATAGCCGATTGTAGTCGGTACTATTGCATGACGAGGAATATACGGTTCTTGGAACCGCACCAACGTTTCTGCTAGCGACGGAGCGGATCCCGGGATATGAGTATTCCGAGGATAAGGCAATACATATACATGAGATCCGGGTAGATTGGGGTCTCCCGAGGAGGTGGTATGGACTTACTCTGCCAGGTTTGGGCACGAACCTGACAAGTATTTCCGCGACGGATGGTCGGCGAGGGGGAATTGCAGCGATTGGCTCTCCCGTTATAGTTGATGGCGTCGGTTGTAGCCGACGTCTGGTGAACTCCGATATTG